AACCAGGGTGGACGTTTTAGCAAGTCAATGATCCAAAACACAGCCAAGGAGACTCTCAAATGCTTTCAAAGAAACAAAATCAAGTTGTAGAATGGCCAGGCAATTACCTGGCCTGAATCCAATATAGAATACAAAATAAAGATCAGATTTGACAGACGAGATCCACAGAACCATCAAGATTTTGACACTCTGTTAAAGTTTGTGGAAAAACTCAACCTGAGCAATGCACGTGACCTCATTCTCTGTATAAGAGACGTCTTTAAGCTGCCATCACCAAATTTTTTTTTTTTTTATAAAAGTATTTAAAACATTTCAGTAGTTGAGCACATTGTCCTTGTGTCATTTCATGGGTATTACACAGAACTCATTCTTCAGATTTGTTTGTTGTGTTTTATTTTTTTTTTTATGTGTGTATTGTTTGTGTTTTTGCCAATTCCATGTCAGCAGCTCCTTTAGAAACATTGTTCATAAGAAAAAATATGACCTGTTTAATTCTTATTTCCTCCGCTGTATGTTGTCTGGAAAAAAAACCCCCTCAAGAATCATGTTGTTTCAGCTCATATTAAATAAGTAACAAGAACAAGTGAAGAATAAGTAAATGAATGAACGATGGCTCTAAGCATTTATGATATTCATTTCTATCATTGATCTATTACTGCTCACTAAAGAGAAACAGGACTCGACATGCTAGTGAAAACAGCGTCTGGACCCAAAGCCCGAATTCCAAGCTGATTTACATTTCTCTTGCAGCTTGAAGAAACGTGTTAAAGCTCAACCCTCAGCTCAGGCTTTTAATCACACATTTATTTAGTTTAACTTCTGCAAGTCTTGAGGTGTACAAATTCCAGATGACCTTTAGGTGAAAGATTTATACAAGAATATAAGTGATGTTTCTACATTCATAACACCCTCGGAATGTTCTTTCATGAGTGTTCATAGTGTGCAGCAGGAGTTTAATGTGCAGCAGAAGCTTAAATAATAATAATAATAATAATAATAATAATAATAATAATAATAATAATAATAATAATAAATTATCAGATACAAATAATCATTAGAATAAAAAAAAATAATAATAATAAAGGTTGTGGGAAAATGGTTTAACACAATACATTTTTTTTAAAATAATAATGTTTTTTAAATAAATGAATTACATTAAAAATAAAGATAAATTCGGTTAAAAAATAAAACAAACAAAAATGTTTAAGTATGTAAACTAAAAAATTTGGGTTTATAATCTGAGAAAAGTTGTGGGAAATGGTTTAACACATTAATAATAAAATAACAAAACATAATGATTTTTAAGTAAATAAATTAAATAAAAATAAAAATTAAATTATGTTTAAAAAAATGTTTAAACGTATAAAATAAAAACTAGGGTCCATAATTTGACACAAAGTTGTAGAAAAATGGTTTAACAGGTTTATATTTATATATATATATATATATATATATATATATATATATATATATATATATATATATATATATATATATTATTAATAATGCTTTAAAGAAATAAATTACATTAAAATAAAAATAAAATTATGTTTAAAAAATTAAATAAAAAAATATGTTTAAGAATATAAAATAAAAGTGCATAATCACAGAAAAAGTGGTAAAAAATTATTAATATTTTTTTATATTTAATTAATAATTAATATTAATAATTGTTTTACAAATTGTTTTACAAATAATTGTTTTACAAATACATAAATTACATAAAAAAACATTATGTTTAAAAATAATAATTATTATTATTATTATTATTTTAAAAATATATAATGTTTAAAGAAAAAATAAATTACATTAAAATAGGAATTACAAGCAAAAAAAATAAATTTAATTAAATTATCAGAGTTTGAACCTTCAACCTTTGAGTAATCAGCTCACACACGTTTAATATGCAAAATAACACCTGAAATAGATGTCAAATCCTAAATGATACCTCTCTATTTACATTCTGCAAGACGCTGGTGGTTATGAAGCCTACAAATGTGTCCTAACACTGAATCTAAAGCCATTAATGTGCATAAACATTAATAATAATCGAGATAACTCACAGCATTTCTTCTCAGTGACTCTGGGCTCCGTCTTCTTGTGCTCATTCGAACTGTCCATTATCTTTCACATGCAGACTGACAAAGTTGTGAGGGGTCAGAAGAGGTCAGCAGAGGTCATAGGTCAGTCTACCTGTCCAGACATCACGTGACCCTCAAATTAAATTAGCTCATTAGCCTGGAAACATTTCACGTATGCTGCTTTATTGGTGTGCATGAGAATGTTTGTGTGTGTTCAGTAAAGTAATGACGGCTAATAAAGATCAGTGCTGTGTTTACTCACCCTGCACCTGAGAGAGCACAAACACGCGGGTCGTTTCCCATTCACACTCGGTTTAAAATGATTTTAAATGGAGTAGAGGAGATTTTGAAGTGCTCTCCGTGTTTCAGGAAGTGTTTGTGTCTGCTGGAGATGCCGACGGCGAAACATTTAGCCCACAGAAACTGGAGAATGACGGTTGGCGTTTGACGGAGTGACACAACGGGCGGGATTTGCGGTGAGAGCGTTGTCTGTGATTGGCTACGCACGATAGGTGTAAATAATATTTATTATATCTTTGCTTTTCATTAAGTGTTTTTGCTATTAGTTGCTATTAAAGTTTCTTGCTATCGTTATGTAGGTGCTATAAAATGTCAATAAGGCTTCTACTGATTTTTTTTTTCTCGTGACACATGTTACATTTCTCAGCGCTGAGTTAACTGGGTGAACGGCTTAAAAACTGTTTTGTTGTAAAGAACGGCGGGCAGTTATATTTGTTTGCCAGATATCCGTCAATAGGATTAATAATGATTTATTTTATGTACATTTGGTACGCAAATGTTTGCAGTGAGATTAAAACATCTCGAATGCCACTGAATGAGAATTCACGTCAGAGATCTGCAAAGCGCCTCCTGCTGGAAGAACCTCTCAGTGACTCAAATGATTTTCTAATGAGCCAGATTTTTTTGCCGCTCATCATTATGAACCAATCAAAATTAAAAAGGAGCTGACGACGGGTTTTTTGCGCTCATCTGATTGGATACTTTTACCATCAATCAAAAACAGAGACTGGCCTACAGTCTATGATGTCAAGCTGTCAATGTACATTTTATCAAATAAAACAGATCAGTTGCTCGTATATATTCATAAATATGAATATATGATGATTCCCTTATTTCTGAATCACTTCGGAGAAATATGGCAAATTGTATCAGCCTAATGAACGAAATAAATCACTGATCAAAAAGTATTAGCCTATAAGTATAATGTTAAATTAGGCTAATTATCCGACCTGCAAGTTTTAATTCAAACGAGGGTATGCCTTTTTTTAAATTACATTAATATATGTAAAATGTTGTGCAGTGTGTTGTGAAAGATTTGATATATACAGTATATATTATCTATTTGTCTATATAGGGCTAGACATATGTGTTTGTTTGTTTATCCATCCATCCATCCATCCATCCATCTATCCATCTATCTATCTATCTATCTATCTATCTATCTATCTATCTATCTATCTATCTATCTATCTATCTATCTATCTATCTATCTATCTATCTATCTATCCTTAATTTCAATCCATCAATCTGCATCTTTTCATTTGCATCCATCCATTAATCTGCATCCTTTTATTTCTCATCCATCCATCCATCCATCCATCCATCCATCCATCCATCCATCCATCGTTCACCCTTTCATTTCTATCCATCCATATATCTATCATTCATACTTTCATACTTTCCCATCCATCAATCTGCATCTTTTCATTTGCATCCATCCATTAATCTGCATCCTTTTATTTCCCATCTATCTATCCATCCATCCAACTATCCAACCATGAATCTATATCCTTTCATATTTCTTCCATCCATGTTCCATCCATCCATCTATCTGCATTTTTTCATTTTCCACCCATCCATCCTTTCACCCATCCATCATGCTTTACCATATATATCATTCATCCTTTCATTTTCCATCCATCCTTTCATTTTCCATGCATCCATCCATCCATCCATCTGGATTCTTTAATTCCCATCCATCCCTCCATCCATCCATCCGCATCCTTTAATTCCCATTCATCCATCTATATCCTTTCATTTTCCATCCACCTATCGGTCCTTTCATTTTCCATGCATCCATTCATCCATCCATCCATCCATACATACAACCAACCAACCATCTGCATTCTTTCATTTTCCAGTCATCCATCAATCCATCCATCCACCATCCATATTTTCATCAATCCATCCATCCATCCATCTGCATTCTTTCATTCCCATCCATCCGTTAACCTACATCATTTCATTCCCATTCATCCATCCATCCTTTCATTTTTTTATCCATCCATCTGCATTTATTTCCATCCATCCACCTGCACCCTTTTGATTCCCATGCATCCTTTCATTCCCATCCGTCCATCCATCCATTTTCCATCCATCCATCCACCTGTATCCTTTCATTTTCCTTCCATCCATCCATCCATCTGCACCCTTTTGATTCCCATGCATCCTTTCATTCCCATCCATCCATCTATCCATCCACCTGTATCCGTTCATTTTCCATCCATCCATCCATCTGCACACTTTTGATTCCCATGCATCCTTTCATTCCCATCCATCCATCCATCCATCTATCCATTTTCCATCCATCTATCCATCCACCTGTATCCTTTCATTTTCCATTCATCCATCCATCCATCTATTTTTCACCCATTCTTCCGTCCATCCACTTATTAAAACAATGCACAGTGCTGGCAGTGCAAGAATATTTTGTATCTCAAAATTCTGAATATCAGACCTCATTCATTCCTGTATGTAAATACTGCAGAAGAGAATATAAACCCCATATCTCTCCAGGTTACCAAGCCAGCAGGTCCTATACATTTGCATCTTTTTTCCCTACAGTAAAATGCAAACAGCCTCCAGAAACCCATCTCAGCAACACACACACACACACACACACACTGGCAAAGGAAATGTTTCTTTAGCTCCTCATTCGCACTCAATGCTTTGCTAAATAAGGCCTCCTTCTGGCCATTGTTTGCTCTGCTCTGCTGTTTCTCAGGATATGCGCGGTCTGCGGCTCTCAGATTCCTTCGCCTTGTATGGATAAACGCTCCAGACTGACCTTATTGGCCGGGCAGGAACAGGGAGGTGTGGAGAGAGACTGAAAAACTAAACAAACGTCCCTTCAGCCCAGCCGGAGAGCACAATCCACTCTCTTTCTCTACCGTTTCCAGCACATTGGTCAGGTACAGACACTCTGAGAACTTTTAATTATTGTTGGTTTTGTCGATGGTTTACTGATGCAATGTTGTTTTAGTTTTAATGTCTGAACAGATTGAGTTTGTGTGTCCTCTAGCTGAAGTATTACATGTATTTCTCATCTGCTATATTTGTACATATAACTTAAAGGATATTTGTTAATCAAATGTAATAAATGAAAACCAGAAATGGCAAGGATTAAAGAGATGACACAAAAATGACATTATTTACTCACTGTCCACTTGTTTTAAACCCTTATGAGCTTCTTTCTGCTGTTGAACACAAAAGAAGATATTTCGAAAAATATTGAAAACCGGTAACCATTGACTTACATTGTAATTCTTACTTCCTAAACCTTATAGAGCTTCTTTTTTCTGTTGAACGCAAAAGAAGATGTTTCGAAAAAAAGTTGGAAACCGGTAACCATTGACTTGCATGTGTTTTTCTACTATGGTAGTCAATGGTTACAGGTTTTCAGCTTTCTTCAAACAATCTTTTTTAGTGTACAACAGAAGAAAGAAACTCATGAAAGTTTATAACCACTTGAGGGAGAAAAAATAGTGAGTAAATATTCATTTTTTGGTTGAACTGTCTCTTTAAATGAGAAATACTGATGTAGAAAGATTTATGTTTTGACTTTTAGTTAGCAGAAATATGTATTTTCTCGAATATGTGTTCACCCAAAAATGACATTTCTGTCATCATTTACTCACCGTTCACTTGTTTGAAACCTTTATGAGTTTCTTTCTTCTATTGAACATGAAAGAAGATGCTTTGAACATTGTTGGAAACCGGTAACCATTGACTTCTATTATATTTCTTACTTTCAAAGTCAATGGTTACAGGTTTTCAGCTTTCTTCAGTGTATCTTCTTTTGTGTTCAACAGAAGAAAGAAAAGTGTAGAACCATTTGAGGGAGAGTAAATAGTGAGTAAATATTAATTTTTTGGATTAAAAAAAGGTAAAATAATGAAGTAGAAATATTTGTGTTTTGACTTTTAGTTGGCAGAAATCTGTATTCTCTTCTGTCGTTAATGCATTTGTATATATAACTTTCACATTTAAAGAAAGGAGTGCTATTAAAAAAGAAAATGGGAAGTAATGCATTGAATTAAATGTGAAATATTGAAGCGCCCACAGGAAAAAATACTGTAGTAAATACTTTGTTTTGAACATTACTAGTAAAATGCATTAAATTAAAGGGATAGTTCACTCAAAATTTACATTTCTCAGTATTTACTCACCGTTCACTTGTTACAAACCTTTATGAGTGTCTTTCTTCTGTTGAACACAAAAGAAGATGCTTTGAAAAATGTTGGAAACCGGTAACCATTGACTTCCATATGATTTACTACTATAGTAGTCCATGGTTACAGGTTTTCAGCTTTCTTCAAAAGATCTTTTTAGTGTAAAATAGACCAAAGAAACTCATAAGAGTTTACAACCACTTGAGGGAGAGTAAATAGTGAGTAAATATTCCTTTTTGGGTGAACTGTCACTCATTTTTTAAATGAGAAATACTGATGTAAAAAGATTTATGTTTTGACTTTTAGTTAGTAGAAATATGTCTTTTCTCGAATATGTGTTCACCCATGAAAAACATTTCTGTCATTGTTTACTCACCGTTCACTTGCTTGAAACCTTTATGAGAGTCTTTCTTCTGTTGAACACAATAGAAGATGCTTTGAAAAATGTTGTAAACCAGTAACCATTGACTTCCATAGTATCTCTTACTATAGAAGTCAATTGTTACAGGTTTTCATCTTTCTTCAATATATCTTCTTTTGTGTTCAACAGAAGAAAGAAAAGTGTAGAACCACTTGAGGGAGAGTAAATAGTGAGTAAATATTCATTTTTGAGTGAACTGCCCCTTTAAATGAAAAATACTGAAGTAGAACAATTTGTGTTTTGACTTTTAGTTGGCAGAAATCTGTATTCTCTTCTGTCGTTAATGCATTTGTATATACAACTTTTACATTTAGAGAAAGGAGTGCTATTAAAAAAAGAAAATGGGAAGTAATGCATTGAATTAAATGTGAAATATTGAGGCACCCACTGGAAAAAATACTGTGGTAAATACTTTGTTTTGAACATTACTAGTAAAATGCATTAAATTAAAGGGATAGTTCACTCAAAGATGACATTTATGTCATTATTTACTCCCCGTTAGCTTGTTTCAAACCTTTATGAGTGTCTGTCTGCTGTTAAACATGAAAAAAGAGGTTTTGAAAAATGTTGGAAACCGGTAACCATTGATTTCCATGTGTTTTCACTATAGTAGTCAATGGTTACAGGTTTTCAGCTTTCTTTAAACAATCTTTTTAAGTGTACAACAGAAGAAAAGACACTCATAATGGTTTGTAAACACCTGATGGAAATTGAATAGTTAGAACATTTTTATTTTTATGCAAACTGTGCCTTTAAATAAGACTTATTGAAGTAGAAAGATTTATGTTTGTTTTATTTTTTGACTTTTAGTTGGCAGAAATCGGTATTTTCTTCTGTCATTAATGCATTTGTATATTTAAGTTTAACATTTAGAGAAATAAGTGGCGTCAAGGAGGAAAACTAAAAGTAATGCATTGAATTAAATGTGAATTATTTGAAGCGCCCACAGGAAAAAAAATACTATATTAAATACTTTGCTTTAAACATTACTAGTAAAATGCATTAAATTAAAGGGACAGTTCACTCAAAAATTACATTTCTGTCTTTATTTACTCACACTTCACTTGTTTCAAACCTTTATGAGTGTCTTTCTTCTGTTAAATACGAAAGAAGATGCTTTGAAAAATGTTGGAAACGGGTAACCATCCACTTCCATAGTATTTCCTACAGAAGAAAGAAACTTATATGAGGTTAAAACCTCTTGAGGAAGAATAAATACTGGGTAAATATACATTTTTGGGTGAACTGTCCCTTTAAATGTGAAATACTGAAGCAGAAAGGTTTGTGGGCGACGCGGTGGTGCAGTAGGTAGTGCTGTCGCCTCACAGCAAGAAGGTCTCTGGTTGAGCCTCGGCTGTGTCAGTTGGCATTTCTGTGTGGAGTTTGCATGTTCTCCCTGCGTTCGAGTGGGTTTCCTCCGGATGCTCCGGTTTCCCCCACAGTTCAAACACATGCGGTACAGGTGAATTGGGTAGGCTAAATTGTCCGTAGTGTGTGAGTGTGTATGGATGCTTCCTAGAGATGGATTACAGCTGGAAGAGCATCCCCTGCGTAAAACATATGCTGGATAAGTTGGTGGTTCATTCCACTGTGGCGACCCCAGATTAATAAAGGGACTAAGCCGAGAAGAAAATGAAGGAATGAGATTTATGTTTATTTTATATTTTCAATTTTAGTTGCCAAAAATCTGTATTTTCTTCGGCCATTGATGCATTTGCACAAATAACATTTAAATTTAACTAAAGGAGCGGTGCTAAAAAAAGAAAATGTAAAGTAATGCATAGAATTAAAGGTAAGATATTGAAACACCCTTAAAGAAATGCTAGAGTAAAATACTATATATTTCTTAACCATAGTACAGTGTATTATATTGTTTAATATAGTATTTACAACAATTTGTTAATGAATGATTCAGAATTATTAACTATAGTGACCTTAAATAAATTCTACAGTAATCTATAGTTTTTACTACAGTGAAATGTGGTGTACTATAGTATAATATAGTTGTGGAAAATCACAGTAATGGTTGATTTGTTTATACTGCTACACAATCACCACACAATCACCACAAGATTAATTCCATTACTACTATCCATCCATCTATCTACATCCTTTCATATCCCATCCATCCATCCATCCATCCATTTATCTATTCATCTATCTCCCTTTATTTTGCATCCATCCATCCATACATCTACATCCTTTTATTTCCCATCCATCCATCCCCTTTCATTTTTTCATCCATACATCCATCCATCCATCCATCCATGTCTATCCATCCATATCCTTTCATTTTCCATCCATCCATCCATTCATCTACATTCTTTTATTTTCCATCCATCCATCCATCTCCTTTCATTTTTTTATCCATCCATCCATGTATATCCTTTTATTTTCCATCCATCCCCTTTAATTTTTTCATCCATCCATCTACATCCTTTTATTTCTATCCATCCATATCCTTTAATTTTCCATCCATCCATCCATCCATTCATCCATCCATCTCCCTTAATTTTGCATCCATTCATTCATCCATCAAATCCTTTGATTTTCAATCCATTCATCCATCCATCCATTTTTTCATCCATCCATCTACATTCTATTTTCTATCCATCCATATCCTTTCATTTTCCGTCTGTCTGACTGTCTATCTCCTTTTATTTTGCATCCATCCATCCCCTTTCATTTTTTCATCCATCAATCCATCCATCTACATCCTTTCATTTTCCATCCATTCATCTTCCGTGTAAAGCATATTCTGAAATGACGGTTCATTACCCTGTGGCGACCTCTGAAATAGAGACTAAGCCAAAGGAAAATTAATAAATGAGTTTACTCAAACTAAAATCATATTGTATTTTTGGGCATAAAACTACAACTGCAAAAAAGTGAGCATGTTTTCACACATATCTGTGCTCATTTTTAGGCAACACACCGGTAATCTTTGAACTTCCATAAGCATTACAGTAAATCCAGAGTAACTGAACATTTTCAAGTGTTCTCACTCCTTGAATTACAAACATCATTGAGTCAATTGTTGAATCATGCAAGCCACAGTGCTGGAACGCCTTGAAAAGTCATGTTATTTCATGTCAGCACCCTTTAAGATCTCTTCTATTATTAAAGAGGTCATGAACTACCTGCGTTTTTCATTTTGTGCTGTTAGCTCCACTTACAGTGTTATCAAGATTTGTACATTTATTCATTTTCCTTCAGCTTGGTCTCTTATTTATTAGGGGTCACCACAGCAGAATGAACCGCTGACTACTCCTGCATATGTTTTATGAAAACATATAAAACATAAGCTGAATAAGTTGGTTCATTTTGCTGTGGTGACCTGATAAATAAAGGGACTAAGCTGAAGGAAAGATATTTGAACAAAGGAGTTCACCTAAAAGTAGTGACCCTGCACTTGCTCCATACCACAAGCAAAAGGCTTCCAAAGCTGGTGGTGGCCTAAGACTTTTGCACGGTACTGTACATTTGCAAACCAAACTAGGCTATAAACGCCCTTCATCCGTCACGCTTGTGTTCAGATAGTGAGGTGGATTTTGTGCTCTTTGGAGTGTGAAGTTAATCTATATATTCAGGTTATATGTGTATAATCTGCTTGTAGACTTGCATACCATTAAAACAATTGGACATGGGAAATGGCTTGAGGAAACAACTAGGGGTCATAAAAGAAGGGATGAAAAGAGAGTGGTAAAAGAGCCTGAGGTGTCTCAGGAAACAGATGTCAGAGGTGGGATTTGGGGTTAGGGGAGGGATCTTGTGTAATGTATGGAGAACAAAGGAAAATAATTGTTGTCAAAGTGTATTTAAACAGGCCAGGAGATTAGGGAGGCAGAATTTTTCAGACAGAGATGCTACTGGGGGTCTCCTGAAAGTTCTCCTTTGTTGTCGACAATAAAGTATATTCTTCTGATATTCATAACCTCCAGACTGAGTTTGATTTAGTAAGAGAAAAACCAAGAAAACCACTACAATAGTGTGTTTGCTTCAGGCCTGTAATGAATGCAATCTCTGATCCCCACAGAAACGAACCAGCGGTCAGAATGTCTGCAGCCAAACGCGCCAAAGGAAAGACGACGAAGAAGCGTCCACAAAGAGCCACGTCCAATGTCTTCGCCATGTTCGACCAGTCGCAGATCCAGGAGTTTAAAGAGGCCTTTAATATGATCGACCAGAACAGAGACGGCTTCATCGATAAGGAGGATCTGCATGACATGCTCGCCTCTCTGGGTGAGAGATATACAAGCTGAATATCTTAAAGAATATAACAATAATAATAATAATTCCTTACATTTATATAGTGCTTTTCTGGGCACTCAAAGCGCTTTACACAATGGGGGGAATCTCCTCATCCACCAGTGTGCAGTATCCACCTGGATGACGCGACGGCAGCCATTTTGCGCCAGACTGCACACCAGCTGATAGGTGGAGAGGAGACGATGAAGCCAATTATGATATGGGGAGGGTAAGGAGGCCATGATGGACAGAGGCCAGTGGGCAAATTTGGCCAGGATGCCAGGGTGAAACCCCTACACTTTTTCGAAGGACATCCTGGGATTTTTAACGACCACAGAGAGTCGGGACCTCCGTTTAACGTCTCACCTGAAAGACGGCGCTCACTGAGCAGTATAGAGTCCCCGTCACTATACTGGGGCATTAGGACCCACACAGACCACAGGTTGGGCGCCCTCTGCTGGCCTCACTAACAAGCAACCTAGCTTTCCCATGTGGTCTCCCATCCAGGTACTGACCAGGCGCAGCCCTGCTTAGTTTCAGTGGGCGACCTGTCTGTTGTGCCTGTCTCTGTGCTTGCGTGTGTGTCATAACGTCACTCACTGTTTGTTTCCTATAGAGTCCGCCTTTGCGCACCTGCGGCGAGTTGTGCTTATTGAAATTGGCTATAAATACGGACCAACATTGAGCGGAGAGCGAGGAGACTTCACAGCCAGCCATCAAGCTTCTTTTATTTTCTTTAATTTACTGTTTAAGTCTTACTTTGATCTAATTTGTTAATTGTTGGGTTGTTTAGTGTTTGGTTAGTGTTGTATGCTTGTTGGAGAACGTGATTTTTTATTCATTCTTATTTAGTTGTGACACATGATTTGGTTGATTGTTTTTGTTGTAATAAATTTACTAATTTAGACCACTTAGTTCATGTGTCCTCTTTGTTGCAATCCCTTTATGAATTAATTATTTTGTGTTGATAAAAAAAAGGGTTCGTAACAAACATCTCATCCAAAAGACGGCGCTCACTGAGCAGTATAGAGTCCCCGTCACTATACTGGGGCATTAGGACCCACACAGACCGCAGGTTGGGCGCCCCCTGCAAGCAACCTAGCTTTCCCATGTGGTCTCCCATTCAGGTACTGACCAGGCGCAGCCCTGCTTAGCTTCAGTGGGCGACCATGTGAGAGTTGCAGAGAGCTAGTATATCTAGTCAAATATTATGTTCTGTCATCATGGCAAAGATAAAATAAATCAGATATTAGAGATGAGTTATTAAAACTATTATGTTTGGAAATGTGTTAAACAAATCTTCTCTCCGTTAAAAATAAATAAACAGGAGGGCTAATAAATCATATTCACTGTATAAATGTTGATAATAGTCTTTATACTGGCAGTTTGTGAGGATCAGGCTTACAGTGATCATGTGCTGATGTGTGTTTTGCGTGTGTTTTGTGCAGGGAAGAACCCATCAGATGAGTATCTGGAGGGGATGATGAGTGAAGCTCCAGGCCCCATCAACTTTACTATGTTTCTCACCATGTTTGGAGAACGTCTGAACGGCACCGACCCTGAAGACGTGATCCGAAACGCCTTCACCTGCTTCGATGAGGACGCCACTGGTACTGCATGCAATCATTCTGCAGACACGAGATAAAAACACACACCATCAACACTGCGCATCTCAGGATGATCAACACATGCTGTGCTGTAATGAAAGTCTCATTAAGGGAACCGGATTCAGAGTTTAACATGACTGAAACATGAGAACTATAACTATATAACTAGATTGGTGGTGTTATTTTGACAAATGTCACATAATATTACCAACATAATAATAAATAATAGTTATAAAAAAAAGTGTAAGGCTAAAACTGCATAAAAATGCATAAGACATACAGTATGTATATGTGTGTTGGGAGTAATTATTGTTAACTGAAATTAAAACACAGTATAAACTGTGACATACAAAGGGTTAATTTAGTATACTAGCAAGGAAATTTTCACAGTATGTCTGATAATATTTTTTCTTCTGGAGTAAGTCTGATTTGTTTTATTTTGGCTAGAATAAAAGCAGTTTTTTAATTTTTTAAAAAACATTTTAGGTCAAAAATATTAGCCCCTTTAAGCAAATTTTTCTCCACTGTCTACAGAACAAACCATCGTTATACAATAACTTGCCTAATTACCCTAACCTGTTAACCTAATTAACCTAGTAAAGCCTTTAAATGTCACTTTAAGCTGTATAGAAGTGTCTTGAAAAATATCTAGTCAAATATTATTTACTGTCATAACAGCAAAGATAAAATAAAATTACATTAAAAATTATTTTATGTAATTTAATATTATATATTATATTTATTATATAATTAATCTAATGTATTTATATTTAATATATGTTGTAATAAAGTGTAATTTTAAATAACTCTGGCCAGTTATTCCTGAAATAAAAATGAGCAATAAAAAGGTGTGAAGCACCAGAAGTGGACAATATTAAATTAATTTGAATATATTTTGGCTATCGTTGATGTCCAGGATTTTACAAATGACCTTTTTTTTTTTTTTTACAAAATAGGCTAGAAAAATTCTTAAGAATCAATTATTATTGTTGTATAGTTATTGTTATTATTACTAATATTAATATTATTATCATTATTATTATTAATATGTTTTAATTCTAATTTTTTATTGAAATGGCCCAATTGTGACCGAGGACAGTTGAATGCTTTTTCTCTAATAAATGACAGTAGGCTGCAGTTTTTTTTTTTAACTTTAAAAATTTAACAGATTGCCATTCTTTCCTAATGATATATGATGCAATAAAATTGTATTAAAAATGTGTCTCGTTTTAAATTTTTTTATTGCAAATTTTTAGCAAATATTTTTAGTGTATCAAAAAGTGTGATTATGATGACATCTGACCAGCTTATCCAGCAAAAAATATCACTAAAATGCAGTATTTAAATCTCATAGTTAAATAGAAACTGAGGTGTATAACTGCAAAAAGGTCCACTTTTTGAGAAAACAGAACCAGCCCTTTCACCAAGCTGGCTACGGGCCTGCAATGAAATTTTCTAGCTCTTGAAATTGACTTTGACACACAGCACTTTCACATAACCAGACAAGCTAATCTGCGGTGTGTTTGTACCAGGGTTCATCCACGAGGATCATCTCCGAGATCTGCTGACCACTATGGGCGATCGCTTCACAGATGAAGAAGTGGACGAGCTCTTCCGAGAGGCGCCCATCGACAAGAAAGGAAACTTCAACTACGTGGAGTTTACTCGCATCCTAAAGCACGGAGCCAAAGACAAGGACGACATGTAAAAAACAGCAGCCGCAGTCATTACCATTAGTACGTACGGCCTTTATTTTAGTCATGACAATGCTACCAATACTTTCAGTACTTGCCAAACTGAATTGTAGGTCCGTCACGTTGCGTTATCCAAAAAAATTGTGTCTTGACAAATCCATCAACTTCTCAAGTTTCATGGCAAGTAAGCATGCAATAAATGAGAGGAAATGCATTCAGGCAGTTGGTTTCACAGAATAAAGCCCTTTAGTCTCACACAACAGCTGCTGATAAACCTGTCAGGCTTTATTCTGTGATAACAACCGCCTGGATGTACTTTATCCCTTTCATATTGCACCTTGATGTAGTTACTGACCAATCAGAATCAAGTATTCCACAGAGCCATGTAATAATAATGCACATTTCCCACTGTGGCAGTGAGTTTTGCTTGACCGGATAAACGTAAAGATGAATAATTTGAGCCGTTTTCTGTGTCTTTCTCCAGATAAAATCACCCGCAGAAGTGTTCAGACTGAAACGGCTGCAGGAGCCATTTTTGAAGTCTAAAAACACAAAGATAAATATATGAAGCCATCAAGAAGACACTAAATTTGATGAAGTTACATGTTGAGAATAAAGTTCGTATATTTTAGAATAAGGTCCCCATGGAAGGTAATTTCAGCCAATTTTGAATAAATCGATAAAAAAAAATGTACGCATATCTGCAGAAATGTAAGTGATTTCATTTTCAGCGATAACGCATCAACTCTTGGGGATTTGACATTTCATTTTAATTTGTTTTGCGAGTCAAGATTGCCAGTATTAAAATGAAAATCACATAAATGTAATAATAAATTAGCTGGGTGTAGCTAGGGCACTTCAGATCACTTTGGAAGGGCACTTTCTATTTAAGACTAAAAAGGCCATGTGCACTACTCAGGTTGAGCCCTATGTGTGCACGTGGCTGCGTGGCACCAAGCCCCACCATAGGAATTCATACGAATTAGCCACTAAATCAAAAAGTTACAAATTGCTGTGAGATTGTGTTGGTATGTCTGCATTTTGACTTTAAACCGAACGCTACGCGGGCAGCATGACGCCGTTCCTTTTCATGCTACCAGCTAACAGCTTTCCTCCATATGGACGGCTTTTCCCAGCTGTTGCCAGTTTGTCCAAGGGCTCGCCGTGCATGTCGGCGGACTTGAGATACAGAGCAGAGTTGACCGTGACGACGAGGTTCGATTTTGGTGAAAAAAACATTCAAGAAAGCACACTGAAAAAAATTATTCAAAGATTATTCCTTGGATTTACTATTTTTTTTCTTACGTTAAGTGGTTGTAAACAATTTATTTGTGTTGAATTTGAACAAAAAAATTAGGTTGAACATTATTAAACTTAATTTGTTTGTTTAAATGCAACACAAATAAATCGTTTGCAACAGTTCTGCATGCAACACTTTTTTCAGTGCAGGTAAAACAAAAACAAAGGCCATAAATTAAATAAGTAAATAGAAAGGTGAGAATGTGGAAAATCTGAAAACCTGGTAAAAAAAACAATTAGACAAGGGCTTTTCTTTTTCTGGATTGCTTTTTAAAACTCTTTAGGAAAGGGGATGGGTGCTGGTCAATTAGTGCTATTTAAAACTATTGGTTGGGTTTAGAAAAGGAGAAGGGCATGGAAATCATTAGATCGGTCAGTCAGTCAATCGACAGCGGCCTCTGGTGGATTTATGTGAGAACAGCAGGCACGAATGGCTCTCGCCAGAGAAATTTCAGATCTGAAAAAGCATACACAGCGGCCTCTTGTGGATTTGCGAAAACAAAAACTGCAAAAAACATAACTCCTGGGACATATTTGGAGCTCTCCAGAATTGTATACAGGGGTACACATTCAGAATGACCCTGGGTTGAAATTATTTGATTTGGGGCTGAAATGTGGATTATAAAACAAACCCGTCATCTAGTGGAGCCGAAAGAACAAACTGCCCTCCGTTCTGCTGCTCTTGTTAAATAAATCTTTATTTCGATTGTAAAAGAAATATTCCCACAACGATCCTACAATCTACAGAGTGTAACGCTGTATATCTATATACTTTAAAACATGTCAGTTCTTAAAAATAACAACCATCAAAGATATCTATAGTAAATCTTTCTTTCTCTGGACTCTGGAGATGCAAAGGATGAGATTAGGGTCTGAATGCATATTGAATTCACTGATCCGAGATCAGATTCCATGTGTTCACTCCTATACAAGTCAAAAAAGTGCTGTAAAACAGAGAGTGATCACCAGCGTTAAAACAACCGCTTTAGTTCATTGCCATTGGCCACTTTTCACAAAAAGGCAAAAGAAATAGACATTTTGTTTGTTTGTTTTCAATAAATGTCCAGTAAAAAGTGTTGTTTTACCTTTAAAGCATCCAGTTGGAACAATATATAGTATATATAGATGTTTTCTATTGATTGTATGAATAAAAATACATGTTTGTTTGTGTCTATATACACTGTAAAACCCAACAGTCAACTTTATCAAATGAAAGGAGTGTAGGTAACTCAAAAGTTACAGAAAGTTAATTCTACTCATTTGAAAAGAGTTTTGTACTCAGTGTTGAAGGTAATGAGTTCATTAAATACCTCATTACTTCAACTTAAGTGGAGTAAGTTCACAGTACTCCTATAGATTAGTTGTTTTTTTTAAACTCAAATGGTTTGTAGCAATCGGTTTTCTCAAACGGTTTGAGTTGCCTTCACTTATTTGGTTTTACAGTACTCAGTTGGTTTGAGTTCTCTTCATTTATCGGGTTTACTGTGCTCAGATTGCTTCGATTACTCAAATGGATTAAGTTGACAGTACTCATCAGGATTAGTTTTTGAACTTAAATGGTTTGTAGCAATCGGTTTCCTCAAATGGTTTGAGTTACCTTCACTTTTTGGGTTTTACTATATCTTCTTCTTCTTTTTCTTTGGCCTTTGTCCCGTATGATTGTGGGGTCGGCTCTTTT